ACAGGGCTGTGTTGCGTGCGAGTGAGAGCTGTGTAGCGGATCTCTCTTTCAGGCCCCACATGTTCGATCTTCTGCGGTTGCGACAGAGCGAGAGGTCCGCTATTTACCTCTCATTCTGGCGCATTTGCAAAGCATCCAACATGTCGAAAGCTGTGTGAAAGTGAGAGGTCAACAGCTGACCTCTCGCTCGCACGCAACCATGTTCGTGGAACGTGGAATTTTTGGTATTTCAGTATTTTATTTCGCGCTCCGAACACCCTGTGGAGCTTATTGGCGTTCCGCTCTCTCGGCAGCAGAGCTTAACAGAGCAGTGTAAACTTTAGGAAACCCAATGGAAATGGAACGGGCTTTTTGCTATCTGCTCCCGCGGCCCACTAGCGTTTTCGACAACAACAATCTCTCTGCTACCGAGCGACGCTGTGACGTAATGATGTAACGATGCTATGCTTGTGCTATGCTATGCTATGTTGTTGTTGTTTAGTATCTGACGGGTAAGATTGATTTGATTTCGAATTAGGCGCAAGTCTAACAGAAGCTTGAATTCTCTGTTAAGTTCCCGGAGAGCGAGAGAGCAGGAGAGTTGGTGGTGGAACGGCGGAAAAGGAACAAGTGTTTGGCGGTGGTGGGCTTTTAATTTGTAATTTTTATTCAGGTTTTTAATAAATTTTACTTTTTAACTAGAAATTATGAGAGTTTTTAATTCGATTACTAGCTTAATAAATATTTAAATATTAATAGGCAAAAGTAAAAAGTCTTAAAATATTTTACAAGGCTTTCAGGGGTAAGGGTTCTAGGGATAGGTATCTTATATTTAAGTGTTTCTTAAAGAAATAATTGATAAAAAAAAGCTACTATGTATTATTATCTCTAAAGAACATATGGGTTAACTTTTTCTATTAAATATTTTCAAATTAAACTTAAATTTAGAAATTAAAAAAATAGTTTTTAAACAGCTGATAAGGTTTCCATCTAAGGAATATATGTCAAGGATGTTAGGAACTCCTCAATAAATCGCTTAATCTTCAATCTATCAGTCGCGCAGGCGTTCGACTATATTCCTTAAAAGGATCCTATCGGATACTGTTTATAAAGAAAAGAATTGGAAAACTGCAACTAAATTGTTGTCTGTTTATCTTAAAAAATATTTTATTCTCCCCTTTACTCCAGTTGTCAGAGTTCCTATTTGCATATGAATATGCTTTTGGAGCTAATAAATATTTGCTTAAATTCGGCGGCTGGTTGGTGCTTTTTTATTGTGGCTGTTTAGCTAGAAACTCGGTTAGCTCATTGTCACTCGATTTTTTTGCGGTTTTTCTGTTTGCCGACTTGAGCCGCCGTGCAAAGTCCAAGAAATTAAAGTGTCAGACAGTCGGTCGTCGAGGGGTTAGGAGGTGGCTGGGGGTGTGGAGGCGGGTCTGCTGGTGTGCTGACAACCGCACGTTAATTAAATTTATTTATGCAGCTTTATTTGTCTTTATTTTATTTTATTTTATTTTCGTCGTTGTTTTATTTTTAATGATATGAATCACATGAGACATTCTTTTGATGATACTGCGAGTAGAAATTACTTTTATTTTTTATAGTGCCTGATGATTAAAGCAAATTTGTAAACTATTTTTTATTTTATTATTTTTTTTTAATGATTTAAAACAATGTTGACCTAATTTCTATATTTATTTCCCCGTTTTTTTTCGTATGCATTCTTGTGTACGTGACTTTTGTTGAGATATTTGTAATTATTTAATGTCAAATGGCCGAAATGTTGCAATTATTTTAATGAGCAAGTAAATAATGGGTAACTCGCAGTCGTCGAGTCTGCTAGTTTGTTTGAATTTCAATTTTTTCTTAGCCAGACATTGTTGCTTTGTTTTAAATTTAGAAACTTCAAATGTATTAGCATGTCTACGGATTTGTTATTTTGCTGCTGGCTAGCCGGTTGTTGTTAATCGAATATGTGTTGTGTGTGTGGTGTTATAACCCCCTGCCGCACTTGGTCCTACTCCTGAAACTACATACATTCACCCCCGCTGCGCACTTTTCAGGCCGACAGCCGACGACGGCAACAATTGAGACAACTTATCATGAAGTGCTAATTAACATTGTCTGGCTGGGTCTCACGTATGCCAATGTCTGGCGACCTACCTGTGGTTACTAAGAGCACACCTGCCCCACCTCCACCTGCATGCAGCACCACCACCACCTCTAACCCACCCAGCCAGACCGAACGAAAAAAAACCGCAATTCACCCAAAACTGGCACTTGGCCGCGTCTCCTGTCTGTGTTTGATTTTTTGGCATACAAAGAAATACACATTAATTTTTTCTTTTTGCTACAATGAATATTCCCAAAAAAAATGGGCAAAAATTGGACAAATACCAACAACAACAAGAGAGATTATTGTGTACACATACGACGACGAGACGGAACATTTTTGTTTATGTTGATAATCTAATATGTGCTGACGTATCTTTTGGGCTTGTTTTGGGGGAAGACGACTCTACTGGGTCTGCAGGTTATAATGCGGTAGAAATGTTGTTTATTTTTGTTTGCATTCGGTTCCTTGGCGGCTACTTTGAGCCACCTGGCCTGGCCGGGCCCAATTGATCAATCGATGAATCGACGAACGGTTCGAACGGATCGATGCGATCAAGTGATCGTGCCAAGGCTGTGAGCTGTCTGTCTGCATTTATAAATAAATTGTAGCAATTAAATAAATAAAATAGATGCATATGCATGCTTTTTAAAATTGTCAGTCTGTTTGCTCTGCTGTTTCTCTTTTTTATTCGTGTACTGTCTGTGAAACGGTGCACGTGTCGTATACGTAATATGCACGTACTATATTCACCCTTTGGCCCATTACGGAATACTTTCCCCGCCGGCCAGTTGCTTTACACGATTAAACTTTGGTTTCTAGAATCGGAATGAGTGCTTTATTTTTGCTTTATTTTATAATCGATTATTTAAAGGTTTAATATGGAAAGTAAGGCAAAAAAAAGATTTTTTTTAAGGAAGCTGATCCTGATAATGGTGACTTATTTTCCATTTAAATTTTGTTCTGTGACAACTTTTCCACTTTTAGGCTTAACTTACATTTATTTAAAATGTTTACCTTATTAATGAATATTAAAATATTATATATTATCCCAACAAATCACTATTTCTTTCACTGTTTCTTGGAAACCACAAACTTTCACCGAAACTTTTTTCTAAGGTTTTCTCCGCTTATCAAATGGCCAAACTTTTGGGAAACTAAGCAAAGCACCTGGTTTCCTTGGCTTTATATATAGGGTATCACCTACATTTGTACATTAATTGACATTCTAGTGTTAGTCATTAGCTGCTGCGACTGCTGCGAAAGTAGTCTTGACTCATTGGTGCTGTTGGCAGCTGCGACAACTATTGGTGGTGTTGCTACTTTTACTGTTTGTGTTGCTGTTTCGGTTGTTTGGGTTGCTGTGATAAGCAGACTGTGGCGAGACAACAAAAGACAACGCAGACAATTTTTGCATTTACTTTACATGTACTATAGCCGAGTGCCTTTGCCTTCTTCTAGCCATGGCTATGTGGCCATTGTTGTTGCGATTCTGCTGCTTTGATATTTTTAGACACCGCCAGTCAGCCTGCCGTGGCGCAAAAAAATAAATAAATAAAGAAAAAAAAAACGAAAATAATAACAAAAACAACTGAAAACTGAAAAAATAAACTAGTAGGAAGAAAATGAAAATAAAATTGGCGTTGGCAGATCTCACACACATCGCAAATCGCATCGCATCACATCTCACAGGCTGGCCAGACAATGAGTCTAGTCGGGCATCGATTCAGTTTCACATTCAGATTCAGTTGCTGATTGTATTCAGGCAGTTCATTCAAAATGTGCCACATCTGATGATGCATCGATCATGGAGTACACTTAGGAAAAATTATTAAATAAAAGGAGTCTAACCAGAAGGAACCAAAATGTTGGATATTTTGTATGCAAGCTTAAGAGCCTTTCTATTTTTTTGCAACTGCATCAAATGTGATTTATTATTGCATGTAACAGGTACCAGTACCAGGCAATGGCACCCCAAAGACTCTCCATCTCGGCTCACTAATGAATTTCCTGCTCGGCTCCTCCTTTCTCTCGGACGCTTTCAAAGGATGACTCTGGCTGGCAGCTCATTAAGCCCTCTATTGACTGGCTAAAGATGGAACAATGGCCAATACAAAGGCACCGGCTCCGAATCATAACTCATTGAACTTTTGCCGGCAGCAGCCGTTGAAACATAAAAAGTGTCAATCAGTGATTCTGCTGTGGCAACGATGGTGACGCCTCCAAAGACCCATTACAATGCCATTTTTATGAACACGGCTGGAGGGGCACACACCCATTGCCGGAGTGAAAGCAGTGGCAGTGTGGCAGCAGCACCACAAGAAGATGCCACCAGCACCAGCAACAGCAGCCGAAGCAGACGGCAGGGTCGTAAATGTGGTAATAATAGTCGCCGAGGGCCAAAACTTCAACGTTTGCCAGTTGCGGTTGGAATTTTCTGTGGGGTGGGCTGGCGCATCATGCACTTTACAAAAAATCCCAAAAAACATAGTGGTTTTATTAAAAAAAACTACATGATATTTTTTGTATGATACTTTTTAGCAATTAAAGAAGATAGATTTTTAAAAATCTATATAAATATTCCTATCAGTGTCTTGAGAATAGCTGGCTTGATTCTTGGGAGGTTGGGCCTTGGGTTCATTCGGGCCATTGGCTGGTGTCGAAAAGCAAGACATAAATGTCTAACATATGGCCGGGATTGCTCACGGAGTTGGCCGGCAAAGCGACAGGTCTATTACCCAAAAGCCTGCTTTTGACGGGTTATTGGATGCTTCTCACAAGCGTCTTTTGACGAAAAAGTAGTTGCACTTATGATAAGTGGTAAATGATAAGTGGGTTTTCAGAGGCTTAAACTGAATTATTCTGAACCGAGTTCCACCAATAAAACTCATCAGACCAAATCCCCAATTTATTTCATTAAATCCTCAACGAATTGAAAACTGACATTGGTGGCGAACTGAGATATTCCGTAAAATATCCAATCTATGGAAAGCAAGTAGTCCCCAGTGGGCAAGGGCAGTCGCATCACATCGGTCGACAAGTACATGTCCTTTATGAAGAGATGACCCTTTCGAAATTGAAAAAAATAACTTCCGAAAAGATTAGGGTTTCAGGAGGGAGCTTACCTCAAAGGGGCATGTATGATTGATGTTGGAGAACCGCTTGTAAATATTAAACATTAAAATACCAACAGCATCGTATGGGCGGCGCATGAAGCGACAGCCGTCGATCTTCACGTTTACCATCCAGGGCTTATAACCACTCGCCCGTTTAAAGAGCTGGTAATGGGTCGTAATATTTTTGGTGGGATGGAGGAAAGTTGCGTTAAAGTTAAACAAAACTCTGTTACGCCCCACCGCCTTCAAGCGACACGTATTTATCCGCACCCAGGACTTGTTATAGCTGCCACACTCCACGTTAGTCATTTTAAAAACGACCGAATCCTACAAATTAACAACAGACTTACATAATTAATTTTTATTTATTTTTTAAGCTTACTGTTGGCCGGAAACAGAGGGCGTAGAGAGTAATAACTCCTAAAATGGTTAAAACCAACCGCATGATACTTGTCTTTCGAAAAACTCTTCAGTTTTATTGAAAAAACTTCAAATACATATTATTTATAATTTTATGGAATAGTGGGTGCCTAGGTCTCATTAATTTGATTTTCAATCACAGTTTTTCTACTAATGGTTTTTTAATAACAAAGCCCAATGAGTACTACTCTTGTATAATTTCGTGCTTCGATCACATTCCTGGAACGTGGCATATGTATTAATACCCGGTACTCGTTGAGCCCAAGGGTGTATTCAGTTTAATGTAAGTTTAATGAAAATACCAATTTTGACTTTTCGGAGGAAATTCCTTCATATATTTTAATTTTCAACACTTATTTTACAAGATTTTCCACAAAATCAAAACTAATATTAACCCCAAATTGGGGATTTCCATAAAAACTCCAAACCGATGACAGCATATAGTTGCCCGTGGGAAAGGGTGGAATTTTCACTGCAGTTGAGAGATACATTCCCCTTATCAAAATGTCACCCTGATGGATTGAGTTTAAGTTTAAAAATTCACAGATAATTTTCGATTTCCTCCTAATAAACTTACGAAGAGTGGACAGGTGTGATTGACGTTGGAAAAGTCCTTGTAAAGATCGTAAACCATAATGGCGAAAGGATTAAAGGGGGCCTTCAGGAAGCGGCAACAATCTATTGAATATTTAAACAGCCAAGGCTTATAGCCACTTTCCCGCTTAAACATCTGGTAGAACACAAAGATATTCCTCGTTGGATGTATGAAAGTTGCATTGAAATTGAAGACAATCCGGTGTCTGTTTATGGCCTTCAGACGACACTCATTAATTAGTACCCAGGACTTGTTGTAGGATTCGCACCTGACATTAGTCAGCTTGAAAGTGACCGAGTCCTTCAAAAGCATCCAATTGTTAAGATATATTAATAAGAAATAAGGAAAACTTACACAAAACCTGATTGAGAGTATAAGTGACAAAACAGCCAGAGCTTCCACACCTCTTCCCATGACTTTTGTGTTGAAACTAAATATAATGCTTGCTCTCAAAGAATTAAAATGTTTAATGGCTTGAAATATTTTTTTAAAAACCAATTTAAAGTTTGGCTATTATTTTAATTATACATATTTTTTATAGAATGTTTAAATCAAGTTCTCAATGAATTCAAAACTAACATTGACTTCGAATTGAGGCTTTCCGTAAAAGTACCAATAGGTCGATAGCAAAAAGTCTCCAGTGGGCATCGGAAGTTTGAAGAGATCAGTTCGAAGATAAAAGCCTTGAATGAGTATATCACCCTAAAACAAACAGTACAAATATTTATAAATAATACACTTTTCAAGCGTCTTCAACCTCACATGCAACGGACAGGTGTGGTTGATGTTTGAAAAATCCTTGTACAACTTATAAATGAAAATGCCAAAAGTGTCATAGGGCCTCCTCAGGAAGCGGCAACAATCGTACTTCATGTTGATGAGCCAGGGCTTGTAGCCATTCTCCCTCTTGAAGACACGGTAGCGGGCCTCAATGTCCTTGGTGGGATGCAGAAATGTGGCATTAAAGTTGAACACAGTCATATCGCGTTTGATCGCCTTCAAGCGGCATTGGTTGATCCGCACCCAGGACTGGTTCAAACTTATACACTTTGCGTTCGTCCACCTTATTTTGGTAGAGTCCTGGAAAACAACTCGGCAGTGAAGGACTTCTTCAAAAAGATATCTTACATATGGTCTAAAGATAAAAAAGATTATAGTCTAAAGTACCGTAGAAAAGGATATTTCATTACTTTGAGCTCAAAGGGCTACTAAAGTGAAAACTAGAGCTTTAAATTAAAATGGTTTTGAATCGTACTTACTACATACAAAACTTACACAACATCTGATTGAGAGAAAAAGTGACAAAACAGCCAGAGCTTTCACACCTCTTCCCATGACTTTTGTTTGGCAACTAAATATAATGTTTCCTCTCAAAGTATTAAAACGTTTAATGGCTTGAAATAATTTTTTAAAAACCAATTTAAAGTTTGGTTTTTATAAGCTTCTCAAATTTTTAATTATACATATTTTTTATACGATGCTTAAATCAAGTTCTCAATGAATTCAAAACTAACATTGACTTCGAATTGAGGCTTTTCGTAAAAGTACCAATAGGTCGAAAACAAAAAGTTTCCTGTGGGCATCGGAAGATTTAAGAGATCAGTTCGAAGATACATCCCTTGAATGAGTATATCACCCTAAAAAAACAATACAAATATATACATATAAACAATACACTTTTCAAGCATCTTCAACCTTACATGCAACGGACAGGTGTGGTTGATGTTTGAAAAATCCTTGTACAATTTATAAATTAAAATGCCAAAGGTATCATAGGGCCTCCTCAGGAAGCGACAACAATCGTACTTCATGTTGATGAGCCAGGGCTTGTAGCCATTCTCCCTCTTGAAGACACGGAAGCGGGCCTCAATATCCTTGGTGGGATGCAGAAATGTGGCATTAAAGTTGAACACAGTCATATCGCGTTTTAACGCCTTCAAGCGGCATTGGTTGATCCGCACCCAGGACTGGTTGAAACTGATACACTTTGCGTTCGTCCACCTTATTTTAGAAGAGTCCTGCAAATTAGTCCTTGAGTGCAGTAAGACTTTCGCAAAAAGGTATCTTACATATGGTCTTAGGTTAAAAACGATTATAATCAGAAGAACGGTAGAAAACGATAGAAAGTACTTCATGACTTTGAACTCAAAGGGGTACTAAAGTGAAAACCAGAGCTTCTAATTAAAATAATTTGGATTTTTGGTTTTATTTTAATGACCGGAAATGGAATCCCTACATTGTGAATCCATTGTGTTTTTCCCTCATTTTCGACCATATATTTAACAAAATAATTATAACTATTTTCAGCAATTAACAGGAATAAGATTTTACAATCACAAAATAGAAGACTTAATACCTATCACTATATCAAGTCATCCGGTGGAAAATGGGAATCTCAAGACCTCAGTTTCAGTTTTACAGAGTCCTGAAAATAAATTTTATTCGAACGACTCGAGAGTTCAAAAAGTGGTGACCTCACATTCAGTCTGCAGTTCAAAATGAATAATATCATGAGAGCGGAATTGACCGATAAAGGGTACTTCATGGTTTCAAACTCAAAAGTCCACTAAAAGTTAATTAAACTCTGTATACGAAAAATAAAAGCTTTACTCATATAAAAATTCATTGTTTTATAATGGCTTTACAATTTAAAATTAATTACTTTGTCTAACGAACTATGGACGGAATTTGTATTCCAAATTTCAATTGTAGTTACTGAGCTGAATCTGTCTCCAATCCATTATAATTTTCAAATGGGTTTTATATTAGGTCCTCGACAAATTCAAAGCTTATGTTGGCCGCGATTTGAGGTTTGGAATGGAAGGACCATATAGTGGCCAGCATATAATATCCGGTGGGAAACGGAAGTCTCAAGACCTCAGTTCGCAGGTACATGCCCTTAATGAGTATGACGCCCTTAAAGCAGAAAGAGTTTAGAAATTTAAAAATTTATAGTTCAAGTTAAAAACTTACATAGAGCGGACAAGTGTGATTCACATTTGAAAAGTTTCGGTACATATTATAGACAATTATACCGATGCCGTTGTAGGGCTTCCTGAGAAACTGACAGCAATCTAGGTTTATATTGAGCAGCCATGGCTTGAAGCCACTCTCCCTCTTAAACATTCGATAGTTAACCCAAATGTCCTTGGTTGGATACATCAGGGTTCCGTTAAAATTAAAGACAGTGCGGTTGCGACTAATGGCCTTCAAGCGGCACTGGTTGATCCTCACCCAGGACTCATTGAGACTCTTTCAGTTCACATTCGCCAACTTGAATTTGAAAAAGTCCTGAAAGGCAGTCTTCAGGCAAGAAATTCATACTGCCTAGAAATAGTCACCTTACACTTGGTTTGCACTTTGAAAGAAATAGAATGACAATGTAATACATCGTTAAAATGTACTTCATGTTTTGCGATCCAAAGGTCTGCTAAAAACTTAACAAGCGGAAGTTTGTAGAAACAAATTATTCCGTTCAACAGACTAGAATTGCCTGGAATATTAAAGCCGATTGATGTCAGCTTTAGTAATTCTTTAAACAATGTTTATACGAATGCTTTTATTTGTGCTGCCAAAGTGTTTTAGTGACTCGATCAACGATCACATACAAATGTATAAAATATTAATTAATTTTATATCAAGGTCTCATCAAAAGCGAAGGTTACGTTAATCTCCAACTGGGGCTTATGGTGAAAAATAAACATCGACGAGAGCAAGAATTCACCCGTTGGCATTGGAAGAGTTATCAGCTCAGTCCGCAGATACATGCCTTGAATGGTGATATCGCCCTAACAGAAGGATACATAGCTAATTATCCTTGAAGCTTTCATTTCTTGAAGGAACTTACGCTTATGGGGCAGGACTTGATGTTCAGAAAGTCCTTGAACTGCGTGTACATATAAATGCCGAATAAATTGTATGGTTTTTTAAAAAATCGACAGCCATCAACTGTTTGTCGGTTGAAAAGCCAGGGCTTGTAGCCACTTTCCCTCTTCAACATCTTATATCGGACCCAGAAGTTTGTGGCCGGATGTAGGACAGAGGCATTAAAATTAAAGGTAGTCTTATTGCGACTGATGGCCTTTAGGCGGCACTGGTTGATCGTCACCCAGGACTGATTGAGACTCGAGCAGTTTGCGTTTGTCAGCTTAACTCTGGCCGAATCCTGGAAAATATTTATTATTTAATCTCAATAGGACTGTCCAGATACCTCACATTGGGCCTGCACTTTAGATAAAGCACTATAATCCACATAACGTTAATCAGTTGACTTCTTTCCATGACTTTCGGTTCACAAATGGATTAAAAACGCTTAGAATTGGTCTAGAAATGGTGACCGTATCGGCAAACGATTAAAAACGTGTGCCATTGTATTAATCTACCAATTTTATAATGCTATAAATGCTATTATTTGTGTTGTTTATTAAAATGTTGTTTAAAAATAGCCTACAGTTAGGCACACTTAAAAACACTTAGCCACTTAAAAACATCGTTTAAATATGTATAAACTATTAACTTATATCAAGTCCTCATCAAATACGAAGCTAACATTAACCTCGAATTGGGACTTGTTGTGAAAACTCCACATCGATGAGAACAAAAAGTCCCCCGTGGGCATTGGAAGATTGAACATCTCGGCCCGGAGGTACATTCCTTGGACAAGGATATCGCCCTTAAAACAAGAAACATAAGTATCCCTCTATCTTTCTGCTAAAAATCAAAACTCACGCTTAGTGGACACGTTTTGATGTTCAGATAGTCCTTGAACATATTGAAGATAAAGATTCCAAATGCATTGTAGGGTTTCCTAAGGAATCGGCAGCAATCAGCCCTGTGATGGTTAAAAAGCCAGGGCTTGTAGCCACTGGCCCTCTTAAACATCCGGTAATGGGTCCAAAGGTTTGTGGTCGGATGCAGAAGTGTGGCATTAAAATTGAAAACCGTCTTGTTGCGACTGATCGCCTTCAGGCGGCACTGGTTGATCCTCACCCAGGACTCGTTGAGACTCGCGCAGTTGGCGTTTGTAAACTTAAGTCGGACGGAGTCCTGAAAAATATTGGTCATATAAACTCTTACTCAATTCACCAGATACCTCACATTTGATCTGCACAGTAGGAAAATGATTATAACCAAAATAATATAGGCCAGTAAACTTTTATCCATGACTTTCGGATCACAAATGGTTTAAAAATGACCACTAATGGAAAGCCCACATTCGTGTAAAAATTAATTATCCATTAAACTAGATAAAAAAAAGCCTATAAATAGTTCATGTTATTACTATACCATTCCAGAGGGTATTATAATTTTGATCTCATCACGAAAAATGGACAAAAAATTTAAAAAATATTTTGTCTCAGGATCTTGATGCAGAATGGTGGAGAATCGATATAGAAATTGATTGAGGTACTCCGCTTGAGAATCGGATGAGAATTGGAAAAGATATAGCTATCACTAAGGGCCCCATCGGGGAAAATCACATTTTCAAGGGATCCCTCATGAAAAATGGACAAAAAATTTAAAAAATATTTTGTCTCAGGATTTTGATGCAGAATGGTGGAGAATCGATATAGAAATCGTTTAAGGTACTCCGCTTGAGAATCGGATGAGAATTGGAAAAGATATAGCCATCACTGTGGGCCCTATAGGGAAAAATCCCATTTTCAAGGGATCCCTCATGAAAAATGGACAAAAAATTTAAAAAATATTTTGTCTCAGGATTTTGATGCAGAATGGTGGAGAATCGATATAGAAATCGTTTTAGGTACTCCGCTTGAGAATCGGATGAGAATTGGAAAAGATATAGCCATCACTGTGGGCCCCATAGTGGAAAATCACATTTTCAAGGGATCCCTCATGAAAAATGGACAAAAAATCGAAAAAATATTTTGTCTCAGGATTTTGATGCAGAATGGTGGAGAATCGATATAGAAATCGTTTAAGGTACTCCGCTTGAGAATCGGATGAGAATTGGAAAAGATATAGCCATCACTGTGGGCCCTATAGGGAAAAATCCCATTTTCAAGGGATCCCTCATGAAAAATGGACAAAAATTTAAAAAATATTTTGTCTCAGGATTTTGATGCAGAATGGTGGAGAATCGATATAGAAATCGTTTAAGGTACTCCGCTTGAGAATCGGATGAGAATTGGAAAAGATATAGCCATCACTGTGGGCCCTATAGGGAAAAATCCCATTTTCAAGGGATCCCTCATGAAAAATGGACAAAAAATCGAAAAAATATTTTGTCTCAGGATTTTGATGCAGAATGGTGGAGAATCG